ATATGTTATAGTTGAAATTTTGTGCGGAGATGAGCGTTGTGCTTAGTGTTTAGAGATGGTGCTCTCAGCACCCATACGGTGCAACTGTACGCAGGATAAAGTGTTCACATTTAAAACTGAACTCAATGCTATCTGAGATATTTAGAACAGAAGCTACATTTTGGTTCAAAAGTTAACTTAAATGCGTACTTTGTTGGCTCAAGTCATGATTGCCGTATTGTACTTCTAGTCCTTTCGCGCGCCCCTCTCTGTGCTCAAAGAACACAAGGAACCGATACATGTAGCCAGAAATAAAAGCGTCCCAGATTGTTTTACTAAAATATCGAATGTCGATATTTATTGTTTTAGCTCAGGATATGTATGTCATATGGTAATTGTCATATATAGTTTTATGACCTTATAGTGTTCTCATGACAAATCGATACAGTTCATTTCTCCAATAATTCAAATGAGTTTAGCAACTGGCCAAAATTGTCAAAATTATGGGGGAAGGAGTGTTTGTTGATCAACCTTCTCTCTGGGGAGGAGTTAGTGTGGTTGGTTGTAGCAATAGTTGAGAACAATTGCATTGTGCATTCACTGGCTGTGATGTCAAGAGGGAAGTAGTGTGTAAGTTCTAATGGTGAATATCTTAGATTACTAATGATGCATTCTTGTGCCATAAAGAAACTAGCATGAAGATAAATATTCTTTGCGCTCAATAAGCTCTTGCTCGCCGGGATACAACAATTCTATTTTGAGGTGTATTCGCTCTAAAAAATGATTCAAATTGTTTTCAGTACTCCCAGGTTTTAATTGTACTTAGGAAGACAAGCTCTTTGTATTATGCAAAATTTGTTTATTCTTGTCCCGTAATGTTTTTTTAGTCATTTTCTTTTCCCAATGGTTTTCTTAATGCCTAGTGGTTTAACTATATCACTTTTGTGAGTCTCCACTTAAAGCTTTAACAACAAAATAAGCTCATTTATACTTTATCTATCTTCTGGGCATTAATACCTTGGCCTTTCTTAAGCTGTGATGATGCATACATTAATCCTGCTTTGGGGCTGTGAACAATTTTGAATCATGGATAACATTTGTAGTTGGAGAAATGAAATGTTTGTTTTTTGGCGAAAGCCTTTCAACACGGTGGTCGTGAGCGATACAGATTATGCTGTGATACTTGTGTTGTACAATTAATTATTAAAGTGTAAAGTAATAGTAATGTCAATAAATTTCTATGATAGAGTATGCATGTGAGTTGTGAATGTGAGAATGTTTAGGAGAGAATGATGTTGCAATAATTATCCATATTATTGAGTAGAGAAATTTTTATTAACATTCTGATTATTAGATGATTTACCAGTAAGTACGCTGCTGAGTATTGAATCAATAAACTGAACCAAGTTTCTGTAAAATGTTTTCGATATTTTTTTGCCTTTTCTTACAATCCTTTCTTATCTTACATTTAACTAGCTACCTAAGACAATGCCGAGATGGAGAGATCTGCAAAACAAACACTAAATGGCAAAACCGAACGTGCTCTGGAATTCATATGAACTGAGTGGCCACCTCTCCGAGCCTACGAGCCGAGCCTGGGCATGAGCATTGTCGGGCGGGTGTGGACGGACAGGACACTACCTACTTATGCAGGTCAATCCTTATATCCACCTTACTTATAACGCATACCGAAACACACCCAGCTGATGAGTTACACAATGACTGGATGGCGTTGACTCGAAAGCCTTTGCTCGCCGCTCTGCCAGAATATAGGGAATGGACCCTACCGCATTCCTACGCGCGGTGGGTTGCCTACCCGCTAATCGGCCCCGTGAGGCACCGTGATCAGCGGCAATAGGCAAGCCCGCACGCACACCTGCCACCAGTACATACAAATCAAAGGTGATAGTCGGAAGATACCCCCAAATTACGTGTGGCTCTCCAGTTCGCTATAAACTCTAGCTATGAACAAAAGCAGTCGTGATAAACCCTTTGAAGTTGAAGTTAGCGGAAACGGAATTTTTGGAATCGTACATGCCGTGAGTCACGGCCCGTGACCACTCTGACTCTCTGACAGCTAGAGGCCTGTTGCGCGATGTCATAATACAACATTGAACTTTTTGACGTGTTTATTTGTATAGTTTTTACGCTACGATTTGACTCATGACTATAACTAAGCTTTTGTTTGTGGAGTTTTTTTCGTTACCAGGTGAGTCCATGAACACCCTTGACGTCGTTTTCTAAGCAATATTTTAATAAAGAAAACAAATCAATGTTTACGTTGACCAAACTTCGGCTGCTAACTTTTCCTATCTTAAACCCTCGAGAGGCCATGTCTATGCCACGGTGGTTGTCAGTGATTTGATCATTGGAAAATACATCTTAAATGCACATTTAAGAGTGGGTTTTGCCCAATTCTAAACGTCTATGCGTACTATCTGATTTTTGTGGGGGTTATGTTTTGCTTCTGCTATGACCTGACATTATTTAACTTTTGGATCAACCATGCTAGATGACGTGAAAATTTTCTGCATTTTTACAGGGTGTTTTTCTGCAACACATCGCTATGTCGTCATGCAACAAACAAGAAATAGTTATTTTGCAGGAAATTTATAGAAATGAAACCATTGCTCATGTTCTGTCAAACTTGTTCAAAGGCTTTGATGATGAATCATTGGTAGGTTACCGTTATCTCATCTGATTCATTAGATGAAATAAGTTTTCTTCATTTTCCTCAACAATTTTCAGGACTCTGCAAATACTTTAATTCACTCCAGCATAGAAGAAATAAAAAATTCCAACTCTAAGGAGAAAAAAGAAAATGGTTAGTACATAAAGACATATGTCTTTACTTTGCTAAATTACTTGACAATCTTTTGACTGTCTTAAAATATTTAGTTGACATAAACTAATGAGTCAAGCCTTGTTTTTTACTCACCTGCTTCCTCATTTGCCAATCTGGTGTCCGCTCTCCGCTTCTATTCCAATTTACCGCTATGGTATAAGCCATTTCAGAAAAATGGGAAAGAAGAACAGCACGAATAACAAGGTGGCCCATGGTTCGTCGCCCGGTCTCCCCCTCCAACTGAGCAACGATTCACAGGCCTCCTTGTTGTTCGTGCTGTTCTTCTTTCCCATTTCTCTGAAATAGCTTATAATGTAGTCGCAATGTAGTCATTAATATATTTTCTAAATGCGTGAACAAAAGCACCTTCCCTCTTCTTTAATTTTCATTCAATCTGCCCATTCATGTTTAAAATTGTATTAATTAGGGTGTTCTTCTTTTCCATAATCTTTAGCCTCTGAAATATTGCTATGTCTACTTGCTAGCATCTCTGATGTTCCAAGGCAAATGTTTGAAGGATTGTTTGATCTTTGTCAGCAAGGCTATTTGGACAAAAAGCTATTATATTTTGCTTTGCTTGCAAGATCAGAGTTGGACAAATTAAGTTCATTCTTGGACTATGAACGACCATTCCTAAGGCAAGGAAATGTCATTTATGGACGTTGTTTTTCTCTTATAAAGTTAGCTGTTACATATTTTAAAGTTATGATTTATTTTTACTCAGAAATCAAGAAAACACTTTTCAAGACTTCAAAGTTGTGCAAAGTAATATTTTTATGGAACTGTTTCTAATAACAGTAAAAAAACAGAGGCATTGGCTTTTACTTCTCCTCGTATGTAGCTGTTGTGTTTCAGTTAACATGTTTTACAATGTATCAGACACTTATTTTACTGATAATTTGTTTGTAGGATGACTTACCAGTTCTTATAAAAGAAGGAAATCTTTCACAAGTACAGAATATATTATCCCACCCACCACTACAATGCTTATGGCCTCTTCTATTTATAAGGATGTTGGAAAATGAGGATGATCTTATTTCATTGAAAGCATCTGCAGAAAATACAATTGTGTGTATTGGAAATACTCAATATGCATGTTTTTTCTTGTTTCCCATCATAGTTAATAGAAGAATTCGGTTTAGTTTTTTTCACATTCCCCATGTTATTTTACAGAAGACTGAAGTTGGAGAACCCTCTATCAAAGAACTTGCTCAAAATGTGCTTTGGTATGTGAATGTCGTTCTTTGGATAAGGGAGAAAGAAGTTTCATCTTTGACTCCCTCATTACTGAGTATTCAAGCATCTAGCACTTTGAATATCATAAACACATGCAGTAATATTTCGGCTTTAGACTGGAATACAACACACAATTTTTTAATAGAAAATAGTTTAAATGGTCAGTGGAACTAAAAGAAAAAGTTTAATATCATTGTACTTAAAATTACAGTTGTACTAATTTGAGTTACATGTTGCAGAGGGTTATGTATCAAAATGGGAGGTGTCTCTCTTTGATGCATTTTGTGCTTGTTCTTTGGCCTTTGAATATTTATTGACATCCCTGCAGCTGAAGCATTCAAATGCAAGGAATACAAATTTTGATAGAGTGGAGATTCTCAACCAGATTAAATGTATTGTATGTCAGCTGTACCCTTTCTCAGTGAGGTTTGTGCAGAAATATTTGTCATTGATACTTTTTACCTTGTGTGTGCTTTTTCAAATTATTTTTTTTGTAATTCTGCTGTGCAGTAGTTTCTTCTATAAATATTCCAATTTTTGGTTGATTTTTTCCCCAACAGATTAAGAGTCATGCAGAATATATTCTCTCTTCTCTTTGTTCGTTATGAAGATTTCCAGGAAGAAATTTGTTCTGACAGTGAGGAAGGTGAAATAGACAATAATCAATCGCTTCCTTGTCATGATGGTCCTATATCAGTCAAGTCCTACAATATTTTGTCGTCCTCATTAACTAGTATTGCTAATATAACCAATCCTGAATCTAGAGAGGACCTACTAGAGAAAGAGACAATCCTCCCAAGTACTCAATCTTCTGCTGATGCTAAAAATTTACATGAGTCATACAATCAGAAACAAGGCTTTGTTTGTGACCGTTTCATGACCAGAGATATTTTAAAATTGCTTGAAAGTTGTCTTAGTGGTCCCCAAGACACACTGGAGGATAAAATGTTTGGAGAGGAAAGTAACCTTTCCACAAATCATACTTCACAATTCAGTAGTAGTGATATGGAATCTAAATATGTATCTCTTCAAAACAAAATCACCACAGCTCTTTGGAAACTTGAAATCTTGCTTGGAGCGGACTTTGTGCAGCTGTCTAATGTGGTTGATTCTGTTAAAGAGAGATTCAATCCTCCAAACTGGCTCATCCAGCATTGCTTAGATGATGATAGCACAAGTGATGAGGAGTTACAGACCATGTGTACTCATATTGTAAATAGGAAAGGTGACACTGAAAAATCGAGTGAATCTGGTTCTCAGTCTAACTTAAACAGTGAGTATCCACATCATAATTTGTATTTTCATTGTATTATATGTTTGTTGGATTTTAATTAGATATTAAAACATGTATTAGACCAAGGACAAGGACTCAGTTCCAAGTGGAATAGAAAATGCCGCAGGAGAAGTTCTGTTCGTCTTTCAGCCAGAAGCCCTACAGATACAATTATCAAGAGAATGTTGTCATCTAAACAGAATTTGGTTTCCCAATGTCTTTCTCGGGGTAGTTTTGGAGCAGCAAAGCAAGCCATTAAGGTATTGTAAACTTAGAACTCAAAAATTGTATACCTCATTTTCTAGAGCTTTGTAGCAGCTGTTCTCATAGTCAGTAGCACTGTAAAATACTTGTCGTTTTGAATGAAGTTGTGCAACACCCGGTGGATTTTGACTGAGGAATTGTTTTGCTTCATGTATGACATCATGTGGATGGCAGCAGGCACAGGGACAGCAACAGCAGCACCATCCTGTTAAGTTGAGATCTATTATCTTAATGTTTGAGAGCACAGAAAGCCTCATTCTCTATTCTGAGTCACATAAACAAGCAACATAGAAAAACTAATATTTTATGTTTTATTGTTTACCTCTTGTACACCACAGATAACATGCTGTCATTGTGTACAAAATTAGCCAAAAAGCCAAAATGTTACCCGATCGTTTTTTTAGATCATAATTTTCAGTATGCAATCCATACATGAAGCATTCCAATACCTGTTATAATTTCAAGTAAGCAGTTGCCTTTCAAGTTTGACTCATTTGTTTTGGTCCCATTGTATTCTTACCCTTATTCTGAACAGCAAAATTACACTACAGTAATTATCCATTGGCACGTTTGAAGACGAATCAGAAGTCTGTTTTGTTTTGTTTAGACTAAGTTCTGTTGTTGATTCAGAACCTGCATCAGTTTCATAATCATCCAATGGAATGCCTGTTGTATTCTGCAGTTCATCTGCTTGATAATAATCACTTTTATACTTTTCATAATCATAGTCAGAAGTTTGACTTAAGTCATTTTTAGTGGAGTTGTTGCCAAACTCAGTAGCTGACCGGTGTTGTTTATCAGTTTTGTGTATTTTATTAACTGTAGTACTTTTGAAGTCCATGTTACTGCGTTTTCTCCTTGTCTTGTATATACTGGAGTTTTAAAAATGTTTCAATTGTTACTTAAAGACTTTTTCAAATCCCTCCTCCAGCTAATATGTAGAGAAGTTTCCATTTGTCATTCCTTCTTACCTTTTGTGATGATTAGAATGAACTTTTTCGTTTGAAGTCTGCAAGGTGAAGACAGAGCTTTCTCTTGTACCGTTTTTACTAGTTATCAACAAACTTTGGTGATGGTACATCTTGATGCTATATGTCTGTGGAATATAGAAACATTGAATCATTCTTAGAATTATAACAAGTTGACACATTACAGTGGGTACCCGAAGTGCCATTACAGCCATTACCAATTGGGTGAATGTTATACATTGTTGTAACCAGCCATTGTTGGGCCTCTTTATTGTGGTGTTAAGTCAGCAAATATAAGTTCATCAGTAAAATGGAGGGGGCTCACAATTTTCAGTATAGTTGTGAGTGTTAAAAATAAAGTAGGGCTTTAAAAAAAACAACAACAACAAAACTACAGGAAACAGGAAATCTTGCTGTAGATTAATCCTCCTGTTAAAAGAGAAGGACAAGCATGCCTTTCTCACCCAACAGTAGGGCATCTTGTCAATGTCAAAAATTGTTTGAAAGAAAATGCTGAAGTTAACATTAGATGTTAGTAGTACCTGTTTGTCGCTCCGACCGGAGTTTGACTTATGGATTGGATGGAGTTCTTTCTCTGTCGAGTCTAAATTTGACTTCATGAACTGAAATGAGGAAAAGGAGTTTCTTCTAAGAGAGTGCAGTTGTAGTGCAGTTACTTTACCCTTACAATTTAATTACCAAAGAACCATATTTTCAGACTTTGGGGCTACAGGAGACTGTTATAGCGTCAGAGGTGAATTTCATGGAATCATACCAAGCAATCAAACATAAAATTGGCTTATGTGCTCATGAGAACCAGAGAGATTCCATGATAGCTGACATAAAATCTCCAAATTCCACTCTGCAGGTAGGTTACTTACAAAAATGAATTAATAATCATCTGCTTTATTTATCTATGTCAAGAAAATTGTTGCTATTCCGTGAAATGTCCTTAAAAAAATTCCTGTCATAATTATAAAACTTCTGATCAGGCTATTCAAAGGGCTGCTTCGGCCGGTGTGCAAGCTTCATCCTTAAATAAAGAAGTTGAAAAATTACTATTAAGTAAACAATTACCCAGCTTGGGGGATGCTCTTCATATTTCAGAAGGTAAAGATGTCCAATATTCTACCATCCACTAGAGGAGACATTTGTCTTCCTTACCTCTGCTTGCCCATGAATTTCAAGTTTTCAACTGTAATCTTTCAGATTTTCTTCATTTATTTGGGGGCAGTGTTGAGGATCAGCCTCTCGTTGCTGCTGCAGTTGACATTGCCTTGATTCTATCAACTAGTTTGCGGCAAGCTGCAAACTTTTTAAATATTTTGCCAAACTTCTCTCATGATCTTCAAAATATTCAAGAGGCAGTACCCTCTCGGTTACGATCAATGGGATATGCACCACTTATTCAAAATGTTTTACAGGTATGTCGAATTATTGTTAAGTAAATTGGATATGTGATTTTTTGGCTGCTTCATTAATTGTTTCATACATAGGTAACTGGTGCAGAATCTTCCAGTCCTTCAGATTTATTTCATCGCTGGGATGTGCCAAATTTTGTGTCCCACTTCTTTAGAGATACATTAAACATGTGGGATAGCTTTACGAGGCTTGTAAAAGAATTGGGAATGTCACAAAGTAGTTCAGTTCTTTATCCTAAATTTCTTCAGTTAGCAGCGTGCTATCATTCTTCTAGAGGTAAATTTTGTTTATTCAATTCATAATACTAATCTAATAAAATAAAAATGGTCTATTTTCAAATTTGTGTTGTTATTTTTAGGACTGGATACAACTCCAGAATTCAATTACTTGCAGGACTTCAAAGCATATCTAAAGCTCTTGAAAGTCTGTAAAGATAGATCTACAGGTAAATCCAAAGTACTTTTATTTTTCCTCCTGTCTCCTTCTTTGGCTCTGTCTGTATTGCTTCATGGTTTAAATTTTGTTTTATCTTGTTTAGCTCCTCCCCCTGACACACCTTTGACACAAGATCATTTTCTATTGCTCAATAGAAGCCCACTGAAACTTCTTTCTCACATGGTTCTTGAAGAGGGAATGACATCTACAAGTCTTGAATTGTTTGCTTCTCTTCTGGGCTTCAATCTACCTCACATACTTAGCACAGAACTGTGCTCCATATTGGATTCTGTGCCGCCTGCGTATCCCTATATTAACCTGGTTCCTATTAATGCACTCTGTTGTGTTAAAGTTTTGAACGCCTTTGTAAGTTTCTTCCTTGTGGTTTGAAATTAGCCCACTGGTTAGATGGTTAATTTAAAATAATTGTCAGGATGTTGCTGGACCTGCTCGCCATCCTGCAAAGGCTGTTGAAGAACTTCTGCAGTCTGTGTATGATGAGCTGATACGTCAACTAGATATAATTCAAAAATTACATCAGTCTAAGGATGGTTACCTCAAAATATGTCAATTAAATATTAAACAAATGCAGTCTATATTGGCTGCTACCTGGGAGCTGCAATATATTGATGTGAAACTATTACAGCCAGGTACTGTGTTTATTTTTTTCAAAATTTCAATCTATTTATGTTGGAGCTTTTGGTTAAATATTTTAAGTATCACAAAATTTCTTGTAATGAATTGCAGGTGCAGAGACATTAGCATTTTACTGCAATCTGGCAAATCTGATTTGGGTACACTGTGTGGTTTATTTGTCAAGCATATCAAATATGGGTGGTAAGTTACATAATCTCTGAATTCCAAGAATACCTAATAATTTCTTTCAAAGGCCATGAATGGCTTTGTTTCAATGGTTTTGTTAGTACTATGTATTAGTGTATGTTAAGCTGTCTCTGACTAAATCCTAGATTCTCTTTAGATCTATGGCTTAAGGCCTTGGTTGGTGGTTATAATATTCAGCAGTTAGTCGCCATGAATTCATTTGTCTATCAAGTTGGGACATCAGGTATATTAACTTTGTGGGAAATTCGCCGACTTGCTCTAGGAGTCCAATTAATGAAGCCAGCAGGCACTGAATCTTTGAAAGATTATGCACTTTCGACAGATTCATTTGATCCTCTTGCTCTATTTGTTGTATCTTCTGGTTCAAAACACTCACCAAAATTGAAGGTAATAGATTTATGTTGACAAAAAGCTGTTACTTAAACTCTTAGGTTATTTTACTTTACTGACACTCTTTCTATCTGAATATCTATTTTATTGCGGACCAGGTGATTAGTTCTAATAATTTGGAAAAACAACTACAGAAATCAGTCCAAGATTATATACAGTATTGGGCTGATATTAAAACAGATCATGTTGCTGTGCCATCTCTGGTGCATCGGTATATTCAAAGTACAGGGCAAAATATGTGTATGTTTTTAAAGGATTATGTTGATTCGTCATTAACAAATCAAGGTAACATTTTGATTAGTATAGAATTGTCACAAATTTTATAAGCTACTATTTAAATGTTGTTTTTTTTTGTTTTTTTTAATTATTTATTTTATTTTTTCTATGTATTTTCCTAGGGTCTTATCCAGTTACCATTTTACCTGATGAAGAATCTTCTTTGATAGTTTTAAGTTATGAGCCAGAAGCAATATACAATACATCCACAGTTGATGAACCTATTACTTCATGGAAAGCAAACCCAAATCTGTGTGAGAGCATCCTGCAGTACATAAAGAGTTATTCTCCATTAGTTAGTGTACTACTTTGTGAGCTTTTGAAAGATCTCCAATGTGAGGATACAAATGAATCAGATGAGGAGGCACAAGAAGCCACAGAAAGCAATGCTGCCAACTTTCATCCTCTCCAGCAGTTCCCTCATCTTGAAGAAACCTGTAAAGGACTGAACACTGCAACTTTAAGTGAATTTTTTAGTAGCAACATTTTATTGACTGTTCTTCATAGTACAGTGCCCCATACATTGATTTGGAGTAGATTAGATCTTTTCGCTCGAGAGCAGAAATGGCAAACCATTGTTGATTTGTTAAAGGCTTTACCACCACTTCAAATATCCAGTGATCCTATGCTCAGTGTTGCACTTGATCTTTCTCTTCTGGAACTGACTTTCCAATACCGAGGTAAATATTGAAATGGCTTCAATGCTTTTAATGTGTATTGTGTGTAATATTTTTTCACATTTTTTACATGTGCCTCATTTCTTTAGGATCTGAAGAGTCATGGCTGTTTTGTAAGCAAATTAGATCCATTTACTTTAGGGCAAGATGTATTTTTGCTGAGAGCACTTATTGGCCTGGTGAGGTGTGCATTAGTCAACTGGGGTACATTCTCAAGTCAGTGGAGATAAGGGACTATCCCAGTATATTTTTGAAAGCCAAAATACTCTTGCATTCAATAACAATCTATCAGGAGGTCTGTTATTAGAGCTAGTTGTGGTATTTGTATTCAACTACAAGACCAGCTTTTACTTTTATTTTATAATTTTGCTAGATGGTGGATTGTTGCGGAAAAGCTCAATGGAAATCATGGCAAGAAGTTCAGAAGGATTCTCAAATAAATCCTGCCTTCGTCCTTGAACAGATAATATTGCACCAAAATGCACGTATATGTGTGGAATGGCTAGACTTGATAAATATTTCAACAAATCATACATATATGATTGATACAAAGTAAGTTGCTATAAATTTTGTACTTCTATCTCTCTTTTTTTCCTTCTGGTTTAATTTGTGTTGTACTGGTTATACAGTAAATGTGACATCAGTTAACAACATTATTTGGTTTTTCAGTATGTTTGTTCTGCTTTTGAATGATGATCAAGATAGACTGCAAGTTGCTGAAAAATTACTTCTATCCATACCGACTAAGAGAGCAGCTAAAATTTGTTTCGAAGCATTGGGGGAATTATGTAGACTACATTCCCTTCAGTTTTGTGTGAAGTTTCTGAAGTCTAATTGTATTGATGAACTAGATGCATGTTCCAAAGAAGCTCTTGAAACTGTTTCTATAGGAATTCAGATGCTAAAATCTGTTCCTATTACAGTTCAGGTAAAAAGAAAAACAGAAAAAAAGAGAAAGTTGTCATGCAGTGCACTATAATTATCCTTCATTAAATCTGTTACATTTTCCTTGTTTTAGAATGAATGCATAGAACTTGTAAGCAGTCCACAGCTTATGGTAGAGCAGCTAATCATGAATGTGCAGTTGGAAGCAGCAGAGCAGATGCTTTGCTCTGTTCAAGGTCATCTCCTGAAACTTACTGCAAAATCCCCGTTATCAATTCCTGCGTTAGATTCAATGCTCCGCCAGTATGCTGAAAAATCCCTTGAGATTGGCATTTCAAAGGGCTCAACAATGAGTGTTATGAGTGAAAATAGCATAATGGACTCTCTATCTTCCTTTTCTGGCAACAAAGATTATGTTATGCCTTCCGTAGTGCCTTCCAAAGCAGAATGGGTTCCAAATGAACAGGCTTCTATTTGTATGAATTGCCATATTGCAGCATTTACCATGTTTAATCGCCGCCATCACTGTCGGCGCTGTGGCAGGGTGGTTTGTGCTCCGTGTTCTTCTCATAAAATGTTAGTACAAGGGTATGGAACATTAAAGGTTCGTGTATGCAACAGCTGCAATAAGATTTGTGAAGCATCTACAACTCAAACCTCTGATCAGCAGACTACTGAGGTATCTGAGTCTTTTGTCTCCTTACCTCCTGAAAACATGTGGCGTTTATCTAATGTTCCTTCTCTGAATGATACTGTGCGTGGTGAATTCTCTTTTGAACATGCCCCCAGTGTTTCTCTGTGCTTATCTATTCTTAAGTTACATTCTGAAAGTGCTGCCTGCCCCAACTTTCTTGTTGATTCATGTGAAACTATTTTAAGTTACTTGCCACCACAAGGAGGTATGCCCAACCCCGAAGTTGACTATGGTTTTGTAATAGACATGTGCAGGTAAATATTTTTTGGCATAGTAACCCTCAGGGAAATTTGCTAATAAAATAAAATTATCAAATTTGGAACAGCCTTTAAATGTTCCCATTTATTTTGATACAGGTCTCTTGTGGTAGCTGCCAAAGTAAAATGTGCACAGTGGGGATATATATCTGATGAGCCTAATTGTGATCAGAGGCTTAGCAAAATAGATCTCTTATCACTTTTGGTGTCTCATGGATGTGCATCTCTTATTCCTAATGAGACTAGTACTCATGGTTTGAGAAGACTCCAGACTCAGCTTCTTGAGGCAGAACTTTGGGAATTAGCTTTAGAAGTAAGTGGATTTGTCATGAATTGACATATTTCAGATTTTTAATTGCTCATCTAATGCAGGTTTTTATTTAATTTTTTATCTTACTGCATGTAGGTCTCTACAAAAGCAGGAATGGAGAAAATTGGGGTGTGGACATCCTGGGGCAAGAGCCTTCTAAGAGGAGGTCAATGGAAAGAAGCACGAGAAAAATTTGCCCACAGTTTTCCCATTAGTAGCAGAGTCAATAAGAGTGCACCAGATTCACCACTTCTCATTGACATATTACAGGTTTGACCAGAAAATTTTCAAGCAGGTGACAATGCAGTAGAATAAATTGTAAATGGGTTTGGCTCTTATTTCCAGATTCTAGAGAATACACCACAGCTTGCAGAAACAGACACCTCACAGAAATTGGAACCTATCAATGCATTTAACAACCGATCTGCTCGTTCTCCAGCTGTTGCTATTCTAAATTCTCTCTCTTCACTCAAGAGTATTTCCCAGGGCAAATATACCGAGGTGAGTGAAGTATTTAATAGTGGGTAGCCAAGCAGCCGAAAAGACTAAAAATTTCCCTGACTATTTTTTTTAAAAATTTCTAAGTCTCTTATTTGAAAAATCAGATGCGTGGCTACCCACTTTAATTTGCTCTTAATGGTTTTTAGTTTTTGTTTTTTAAATGTCTTTATTACTTTATTTTAGAAACAAGTTGCTGGTACTGTTCAACCACAGATCTATGCTGAGTGCTGTTATTATCTTCAAGAATATGGTAGTCATGCTTCTTATCTTCAATTCCTAGTCCGTCACTCTGACTTTAAAGGAGCTGTAAAACACACACACTCACATTCAGTTGACCCACAAATATTTTTTGAAAATGTTTACATGCCATGTTTACGTAGGGGTCAAATTACTCCTCTACACAGTGCCATTACAGCTGAGGATTCATCTTTAGCCAAGTGGACAGTGAGTATTTTTCAGTGCTTTCTTGCTTCTTCAAGTTTTAATACCAATTCATACCTCTTACTTTTTTGTGGTTTTGTAGGTATATTTGCACGGTATTGGTGCAGCCTTGGAAAAGCGCAAATTACTCAACACACTTTATGAGGTGCAACAGTGGTCAAAGGACCATGTGAGAGCGGCAATGACTTGTATTCGTTTCTATCATCTTAATGCAAATTCTTACTCAGATCTGGCAGCAAATATCAACCATCTGATGCGAGCTCAAAGCCATCTTGAGGGTGCTCTTGCAGTTGCCACTGCTTCAGTGAAATGCAACCAATATGGTGTGTTGATTTTTTGATACTTTTTTTTATCATGTGAACTGTCACTGTCTAACTAACAGTTCTTATTATGGTAGCAAATGACACAGTGCCAACAGAAAAATCTTCTGAAGTTATGTGGCTTCAGTTGCCCCCTAAAGAACTAGATCACCACTTAAGTACAATAGAAATGCAAAAAGAACTTACCAAGTTTCTGAGTGCTTATGAGGCTGATGGTCACACCATTTTTGAGGCAGCCCTCTGTTTTCCTCATGTATTTGCTGAACCTTTGGCCCATGGACTTCCAACTTTATTTGGTAATACAGCAGATCGTTTGCTACTCTCAGGCCTTTGCCTGTTCTGTGGTAAAAATGTAGAAGAGGGCTATGGCATTGTTTACAGGTTCGTACACAATCAGATGTTTTAAAATTTTTGTCTGTATGTTAAGTTACAAAATCAATCGAGAAATCCTAGATCAGCCCCATATTTTAGCACAACACTCAAGTCAATAGTTTTAAATTTTAATCTTGTTGGCACATTATTATATTTGTCTCTTATTCTTCTGCTAGAATTATTGAGGGCTTTCACCTTTCTGGAGATCAAATCTATGAAGCCGTAGCTGTGGCACTATCTCGTTCAGGACGTCTAACAGAAATTAGCCAACTTCTTAACTGCATTCGCAGTTCTGGAGTAACACTCCCATCAACTATTTGTGATTCTGTTGTCATGTCTTGCGTTCGAGAACTGCCAAAACAGCCTAGTGCGAGTGACATTGATTTCCTTGCCCGAAACATATCTAATCCAGTTGTAAAGGTAAATACCAATCAGAAGGTTTTCCTTTGTTGTTTTTCTTGGTTTTATTTCTTCTTCTGTTTTCTAGATACAGGCTTTTATTACTTGTGGCCAATTGAAGTCGGCATACCTTCTAGCTGTAAAATATGAGAGACTAGAAGATATAGAAAAAATATTACAAGAAGCTGAAAGAATGGGGCAGAGTGCCATTAAAAATATTTGCTTGCAACGCCTTGGAAGAATGTAAATGTCTTACCATTAGATGGTCAAAATGTGCTATGATAATCCAGTAAGAAATGTATGTCCACCATTACTTTAAAACTGAGTAATGTTGACTCAGGTGCTCTTATGTGTCTGAATGTGCCTTTTTAGATTTCTCTTTTTCGATATCATAGATACAGGCCAGAATTTCCTTTTGGGTAGGTCACATCTGGTCGCGTGAAGGGTGTTTGGAGGAAGACATGACTGTCTTGACGGTCCACTGTTTACACTCCTTCACTGTGAATTTAAGTGCACTCTTTTACATTGAGTACTTTCTTTTGACATTGTGATAATGTCAGCCGGTGCCATTACCTTTGAATGTCATTTACTTTACCATGAGACTGACAACTGAAAATTTAAGAAACGCATCAAATAATATAGCATAGGAAAGGAATGAGTCATGAAATATACAATCTACATAAAAATGTAGGAATGGCATGAAAAATTATATTTAGTGATACTCCATCCCAAAATAATAAGGGAGGTTACTGTCAGCGAGCCAGAATCATTGATTACATTTTTTTCTCAGTTAGATTCTGTTTGTATGTACCGAGTGTCAGGGCCACGACAACATTCTGCGGGTTTGCCTTCTCAATCCTCTGGCAAGGCCCCAAGTATAAACAAACCCTCAACACTGTTGTGTTTTAGCCCTGACACACAGTATAGTATGTCTTGAATCACTAAAAGAAATATCAATAGACCATCCTCGGGTTGGATTAGACCCCTTTTTGAAAACATGAAACTTTGAAACATCTGCAGTGAGACTTTGGTAGCTTAAAAACCGAGATTGAAGAGATAAACTGGCTTTGAAAGTACTCAAAGTTCATTGTCTTGCCTCAAGCTAAGTAATACCTTAAAGAAGTCCAGATGTTAGCATAGGAAGATCCTAAAAATTGTTTGCTAGAATGGTGTATTTTGCTGTAAGCAAATATTACCTGTAAGGAAAAAGTACCTCTGTGATAGTTTAGGTAATTTTATGACTGATTTTTGACAAGACTAGTTTTTGAAGAATTTTTAAAAGTGATCAGCTAATGTAATAAACCATAAAATTCAAACACTTAACAATATGCCTTCTATTTTACATAACCTTGTGTAAGAATTGTTTCTGCACAACTCTGAATTGATACACTATTTTGAACAGAAAGAGAAATTTTGAGAGGTCCACCCTCTGGGAATTCCCTCTTTATTTATTATTGTTTATTAATTGTAAAATAAATAAATAATGTGAGAGTCCTCATTGTGGGTGCACCCTACCGGTGCAGAAAAACTAAGAATTGAACATTTGATTCAATCTCCAGAACTTTGTCTGGTGGTCAGCAATGTACTGCCAAGTATTGTTCCGCTAAAGTGTGAGTTCCAAGGGTTTTCCTGAATCATCCAAGTCGTCATCCGGGACTCGAGGGTAGGCAATGCTTTCCTGAAGTGGGCCGCCACCCCGCGGCCCCCTGTCCCTACGAGCGCTTGGACCGGGTGTCCCGGCCCGGCTCTTACATGCCAGTACGTTGGGTTGCCTATGCACTAGCAGCAGGGGCTGCAGGCGCGGGGCGGGTGGACGGGTGGCGGAGGAGTGGGGGGGAGCAGCCACTCCTCCGCCACCCGCCCCGCACCTGCAGCCCCTGCTGCTAGTGCATAGGCAACCCAACGTACTGGCATGTAAGAGCCGGGACACCCGGGACAAGGCGAGAGCTTCGGAGAGGCATTGATATCTTTCGTTTTCGCTTTAGTTCTTAGCGCAGTTTACTTCTGGATGATATTCTAGCATTGGTGGAAGTAATGAATTCGGGGTTTGTGAGATGCTTGATGCGTACGTCGGTTAAACTGTACATACTGACCCACCACAGGTAATGGATCTCCTTTAACGCCAGATTCACAGGTCTTATTAAGTGCACCCGCCACCACAGCAAGGTGCCAGGAAACTCCCACAGCCCGCTTTTGCCGTTTGCAGTAAGTCGAACCCTGGCCCAGAGCCGAATCATTTGCCACCTTCGACGCAGTTTAACCAGGACGGTAACCGCTACGCCGTCGGAACTCCACGAGAGGTTAGTACTTAACTGTCCTCTACTTAAAACGATTTATTAGATATCGGAGACGGAGGGTCGGGGCATACTTGGGGGCTCCTACTCTCTCACAATTTTTATATTTTGCAATTGAAATACTTTCCTTTACATTTGTTTATAAGCACACAATGAAATATTCAGTAGGGAACCTCCTGCACCTTTCAGAAAATTGATGCTAAACTGGAAGGAGCAGCAGAGAAGATTTAAAAAACTACAAAGTAAATCTAAGGGTCCAACAGACCAATTTATTTCAAACAGTTTATTTTAACAGAGAAATGATTTCTGATTTAATGAACACATTTTAAATTTACAACAACCCACAAGGGAAAGGAATGTTACTGATACATTATAGCCAACAAAGATCCGATTGAGCCCCTTAGATTCTACCTTTTCCAACTTCTTACAACATATCCATAATATAGTGGAAGATGATTCAAAGCTAATGAATGCCAATGCAGCACCAACAAAGTTACTGTACACTTCTATACAAGATAATATTTATTACTGAATTTACATTGCACCTCCCACATGAATGAGACATGACACATTGAATATCTTACACAACATTATTATAATGAATCAACATAACAGCTCCACAACAATGGACAGAATTAATCTAGATAAAATGTCATCAAGGAAGAAATAAGCCTGAAAAGCCATTCTCAACCCAAAACAAAAATTTCAAATATATGAGATATATTTTATGTTTTCTATCAATAAAACTCTACACAAATGAACATTTTCTAAATCTGAACTTCATTATTGTACTGATTAATAAAGTCTTTCATAAAACAATGAAATCCCAATCCTTTTATTGCAATCCTAGAAGTAAATATTTGATGAAGGATGGATCTTAAACCATACCTCACAGAAACAATGTAAATTAAAAATATCTTTACCTTCTTTTTCTTCTAAAAAACGGGGACCTGTCTTTATATGTAGCTCAATATATATATATGCAAGATATGAAAGCAAAATGGTAAGTACGTACAAAGCATCTACGTGATAAAAACACTGCTGAACCAAGTCAAACAACCTGATGGGAGAAATGGCACACATTTCCAGCAGGGGATTGACTCATGGCAAGCAAAAGAGAATACTAAAAAAAAATGGGAAAATAAAACAAAGAAAATTTGAAAAACCAATGATTGATGATGAATCCTCCACATAATTTTAAAGAGCACTCCTCATGGCAAGCCAAATCTTGATAATACTGTGATGTAAAGGATATCGGAGTCTTTATGAAAGTGTTTAGGGTTATAAGTACAATGTTACAAGATCATGCCTGCCATACACATTGGTGATTTGGGACTACATGAGCTCCATATCAAATTTAAAATTGTGCCACAAACATACCTTCTGTTTCACATTTCTTGTTGTGCATACAAAATATTCCAGATTTCTGCCCAAGAAAAAGAAGACTATACATAACAGAATTGGAATGCTGGTATTGATTTTTAATATCACGACATGTGTCCTGCATTCTACAGACTTCTTGAATTCCAGTCACAAAGTATTCTCAAAGTTGAAAAGTAAATAAATGCAACATGGTAAAAGCAAGATAAAATGTTCACTACAGGGAAATGCACACAATCAAATTAAAAAAACAAAAACAAAAACAGGTACAACACAATGAAGTGATAAGACTGAGTACAAGAAGAAAATAAGTCTGTAGAATGCATTTCATTGCCAAAATAAATCTTAGACACCTAGAACACTGGGGCAGAGCACATTGACACTAAGAAAGCTTCTATATGAAGGGCTGGAACAGTTGGACACAAAAATAAACATTTCAATATGATATCACTTGATCATTAGGCGAGCCATCAAGCCTGAGGGTGATTTAATCTTCCAGATTTCTGAAAGCTTGCTGAAGGTCTTCATGCAGCTGCTCAAAGTCTGCCTTGATCTTTGCTTCTCCATCCTTATGAGGATCCTGCCAAACACATAAATTTAATTATTCACCTTGTTAAGAAAATACTGCAGAAATAATTTTATTCAGATAAAATTATTATATAATGACCTTGAATTTCATTGAGGAAAGCTGATACATTATTTGACCCATAGAGTCACGGATAACATTCCAGGTAATTTTGTTCTCACTTTGGGCAGTGGACTCAACTGCATGGCGTGACATATCATAAAATGCTATCATATTTTTGAGCATACCAGATGTCTTGTAAAACGGACAGAACCTGTCATATGCTGAGTAGCTGAGAAGAAAATATAAGAAATTTAGATGACAAAACACCAGGGAGGCTATACAAAATTCCACCACAAGGTACACAAGATAAAACTTGTGAGACCTGTTATTCACCTGTTCTGTTGGAGGAAGTCATCTTTAAGGAGCTTGGCAACTTCAAGTGTGATTTTGTCTGCCTCAGCTAAAGAGGCTTTACCAACTAGCTGCACAATTTCTGATAGATCTTCCTCCTCTTGCAGAATTTCCTTTACTTTAGTCCGGAGAGGAACAAACTCGGGAAAGTTTTTGTCATAAAAGTCATCCAGCGCACGCATGTATTTGCTGTAAAAAATAAAATGTCTAAGTTATCCAATATTTCTTAGCAAACACAATGAGAAAATTTTAAATAACTTGTCTCACCTGTAAGAGATCAACCAATTGATTGACGGGAAGTGCTTGCGTTGGGCCAATTTCTTATCAAGACCCCAGAACACTTGGACAATACCCAAGGTGGCTGAAGTGACAGGATCAGAAAAGTCACCACCAGGTGGAGATACAGCACCCACAATACTGACAGATCCCTCTCTGTCAGGATTACCCAAACATTTAACTCGTCCAGCACGCTCGTAAAATGAAGCAAGCCTAGCTCCAAGATACGCTGGATAACCACTGAAAAGTTGAGGAATCAAAACATCAGATACAGTATTACAGAATTTAGAAAAAAAATCTCAAAAGTTTGAAGGGGTATACAAACCTGTCGGCAGGCATTTCAGCCAAACGACCAGAAATTTCTCGAAGAGCCTCAGCCCATCGAGATGTTGAGTCAGCCATCATGGAAACATTGTATCCCATGTCACGGAAATATTCAGATAAGGTAATACCTGTCCAAGTAAAATCACAAAATTACATAACTGTTCCATAACCGTTTTCTTCAGATTTTTGATATTACCTGTGTAAATGGATGCCTCACGGGCAGCGACAGGCATGTTGGATGTATTGGCAACAAGTGCAGTACGCTTCATGATAGACTCTGTCTGACCATCAATTTCAACTGACAATTCGGGGAAGTCACGCAATACCTATGACAAACAGCATGGTTACATGATGAGTGTTCAAGGAAAGAAGCAAAGATATGATAAAGATTGACTATACTTACTTCAGACATCTCATTACCACGCTCTCCACAACCAACATAGACAATGACATCAGAGTTTGAGTACTTGGAGAGAGCTTGAGAGATAACAGTTTTACCACAACCAAAAGCACCAGGAATAGCAGTAGTTCCTCCCTGGACACATCTGTCCAAGAAAACAAAGAAATTAGATTTTTGTTTTAAAAACAACCACTGTATATATCATACAACCAATATTTGAATTGAAAGAAACAGGTAACATAAAAGTTCTGTGAAACACTTACGGAAAGAGTGAATCCAACACTCTTTGACCAGTCAGCAGTGGGTAGTTAGCAGGAAGTTTCTCTGTGACTGGACGGGGTTGACGCACAGGCCAGACTTGAAGCATGGTAAACTTTGACTTTTCCCCATCAAACTCGGTTTCCAAGATAACATCCTAAAAAATATATTACGCATGTCAAGTAGGATTAAAAACAGATGAATAATAGTAACATAAAAGACTTGTTACTTACATCAACAGTGTAATTGCCAGGTTCTGCAATGTAAGTGACTGTACCCTTGGCTTTGGGAGGAAGGATGATTTTGTGCTTTACCAAAGTGTTTTCATGAACAACACCATACAAATCACCACCAGTCATATGACTACCAATCTAGAAGAGGGGTTTGATGATTTAATGTTTTTAATTTTAAATAAAAGTTAAGTCACAAAATGTTTATAAATATGGCTTTTAAATACCTTGATTGATAGTGGATTAAATTCCCATGACGCAGCACGGCTGAGAGCTGGCACATTCACACCCTTGGGAATGTAAATGCTACCAGCCAGTTCACTGATGTCCTTAAGTGGACGTTGGATACCGTCAAAGATACTCCCAAGTATACCTGGCCCAAGCTCTACAGAGAGGGGCTTACCTGTGCGCAACACAGGATCACCCACAGTCACACCAGATGTTTCTTCATAAACCTACGTTGGAAAAACATTTTTTTTTAGTGAATTATTAACTATACAAACTCTTGACACACACACAAAAAAAATTAAACTCATTGCTTTACTTGAATGGTTGCCATATCACCCTCCAAACGAATGATTTCGCCGACAAGTTCATGGTAACCCACACGAACCAACTCGTACATAGCTGAGCCAGACATCCGCTCAGCCGTAACAACTGTACAGAATAGATATGTAATGTTAATCACTAAAAAACATGTCTAAAGGAATTTTAAAAAAGTTAACCAAATGAACTTACCAGGACCAGAAACAGCATAAACATAGCCGAATCTGGACTCCTTGTCCTCATCACGGATTTTGGGGAGCATTTTGGAGGTTTGAAGGGCTGAAACTTCAAAAGGAGGTAGATTAATGGCTTTTGTTAAACAAATATTAGCTACAGTAACCCCGTGACATTAGACATAGTGACAGATCCAACATCATGTGACATGAAGATAAAAGTACTAAGTAGTGTGAAAAGCTGTCTGCTACAACCCAAAATAGGTCAATAAAATGGACAGAAAACAACTAAAAGTCACCAGCAAAGTCAACAAAACTGGAGCAATGTATTCCGCAAAAACGGAGAGAAGTCTCAATAAGTCGTAGGGGCTAAAAGGAGGCCAATACAAAGGAATCAAACAAATTATCGACTTCTCTAGCCTCTTTGATCCGAATGGCAGTGTCTTATGTACAGCAGGATTTTTTGTTTCACATACCCAGTAACAAACAACTACGAACAGTTATGGAACTAGAGAATAATTTGACATACTAGATAGAGCATTAACCAATTATTTGGAAAGAGCGACCGATACCTTACCCTAGAGAAAATAGAATCCTCCCAGTCGCGGCCGACACCAGTTACAATCACAAGACTGTCAGCTGACGCAGGGACAACCACCAAAGTCTGGCAGCTATCTAATATATGTGACTGACGATATAATATACGTATTTACAATGCATGGATAAATGAAAATGTATTTATTTTTTAATTTCACTATTCCAATTTTATTTGTATTAATTACGGTGAAAAAATACCAAAACACATAATTTGGAAGTTCCTTTGATTTGTACACGCACGAGGGGCGCGGTCCATTTGGTGTCCCAAACCTTCCAAACACGAGACACATCTCTATCTCACTTTCACACAGCAGACTAAAAAGAGATAGGAAGGTTCTCTCAGTTCGACCCGTGTAGTTGATCGGATCTATCAAATTCATTTTAGAACATACCCTTACAAATAGATGTGAAATAATGAAATTATATCTAAATATTATATTATTATTATAAAGCGGCTCTCAGAATGAAAAGAGGAATGACCACCTTGACCACAAGTGGCAAAAAAAAAGTGGAAGGGGAATGAACAACCTTGAACCATAAAAGAATTACTTCTCAATGAATGAAAAATGGTAGTCTTTCTTGTTTAAGGCCATTTAAACATGAGAATAAGTGAAATTATGCAAAGGCATCCTTAACATTCAAGCATTTCATACATTAATTGTAAAGTAAAAAATACAAACTATTTTTGTTTTGTACCATTGGCTTCCCCGCCTACCCTCCCTTGCCCTCTTGCCCCCCGCCCCGGCAGTGTATTGCACCGAGAGGTGTTAATGTTTGTTGACTAGTTGACTATTCTGTAGACGCTGTAGACCGCGACTCGGAGTAACATTCGCGTTCTGCCTCCTACTCTCCACAAGAAAAAGAAGATGTTGGATTACATCAAGAAGAAAATAGCTTGGCTCGTTCTCCAATATGAGCTAATTACTTGTTTAAATATGTTTGAGCCATGGGAACAAATGTGCCTCAGTATCCTTTCCTGCTGATTCAAATATTTCCAAGTTGAACCTTTTTGGTTGATGCATAGCTAAACATTCTGTATGAAGTAACTTCTATACTTTGAGAAGGCTAATTTCTTGACTGAAGCTGTGGTGGAGATTGATCGTCTCTCATTCTTTATTTACATGTCAATTATTTCTTCTCATATATGTTTTAACTTTTACTCTATAAAATACACCTCTGCGTCTAATTTAATGTTCTCATTTAACAAACATGGGCCTTGAATGAAATATCTGTTTTTCCTTAACTCTTATTCAGATGCAACCGTCCTGCTTGTTGTGTCGCTGGTATCCTATTCTTCGTATGTTTACCTACCCCACTACATCATGTCTCTCATCAACAGTGCATGGAGCGTAGTCTCTAGTGGTGAAGAACGTGTAGAATATCGATTTGAGTCAGGATAAACATCTTCCTCTCATGAAATTGACAAATATGATATTTGACCACCAACATGTGTTTATCTCCCCTTCTATATTCTCTGTATTAATCGGAACAGACAGACCGTTCTTCATTAAAAACAACAGCTTTTTGTAAAAGAGTATAGGAAGATGGCCGAAGTAGCACTGTCCAAAATTTTCAGTATTTGTTCTTTTTTTGGGAACAGTTTTAATCATTAAAGCACTGAATCTTCCATTCCTTTTACAATTTTTTAGTGTGTGTTTGTGTTCATTGCATTTTTTTCTTGTATGATTGGTTCCTATGTTATGTATGGAATTAACGGATTAGATGCAGGCTCTTCTTGCTCTGCACTAGAATGATGAGCGACTATAGCCTTGTTCAAAAACTGTCTCATTAAAATCATTGTCATTTTTATATAGGTTTAAAAAAAACAAAAAAAAAAAACACTATTGGCTTAACAAGTTACAAAGAATACAAAATTAATGCAACTGTGCTTATGCAATAATAGTTTGAAACCACTGCAAGTATAATGAAGTTTTAGAAATATTTTTTTTTTAAAGAGGTGCAGGAAATTGTTTATATTTTATTTATCTGGCATATTTAAGGTTTGCGTAAGCACAATAACATATCATGAAAGCAATGATGTTGAAAGACCCATGAATTTTGGAATAAATTGTACTTACCACAGGAATATATGCTTTCTCCATGTCAGATGACAGTTTTGGCTGTATTTGTGCACTTAACATTAAAGGCTGTGGAATTTGTTTTGTGATTGATATTTTATTGTTTGTTAAATATTTGTAGCCTTCCTTGAAACACTGTTTATATTGATAAGTTAGTTTTGCACCTATCCGCTCGTAAAATTCACATTGTCTTTCTTTTAAAAAAATCAAGTTGCAGACACAAGCTCTGATTTTTTTCATGGTGTCTGTGTCTGACTAGTTATAGTCTGTATGCTTATTGCATTCCAAACAAGCAGTCGTTATAGCCCTTTTTGAAGTTGAAGAAGATATAGTCTGGACACCACCATTAAGCCTAATCTTAAAATGTGTGACTTAGATATTTTATTTTGTCTGCATGCCTCAAACTCAGTAGTTAAACTGGAAACAAACGTATGTACCATTATTTTTCCAAGGAAAATTTGAGTCTTAAAAATCAAGTTGTTAATATTTCCAATCTAAAAAAAAAAAGTATTTACTCATCACAACGTTGAGCTCAAATTAGCATGATTAAATGTGTTGTGTTGAACTACATTCATTATTAATGGTCTTTTGGGTTTACCTCTTACCCATTGACATGTACAAAACATGACACCAATGTTTGTTTAGCTAATCCTGGTGGTAGGTATTACATCTCACAATAGCTACCGGTAATTTGAGTATCGTGGGACAGACCAGATGACAATGTCTGCATGGGATTGTTTTACACACTTTCATTCCTTTGGTCTAGACTTGGGATGATACACTACCATCAATTTTATTCAATTTTCCTACTTTTGCTCATACTCACTTTAATCATTCACATCATATTCACACTTGTCTACTTCCTTGCATAAAATATTTAAAAACATACAATATTTACAAACTTAAAATAAATTATTTACAATGAGAATCTGTCTATTGACCAGCAAACGCTTTTCATCTAAAATTTATACATTACACTTATTTACACTTTCTAACTTTCAGTTTTGATTGATTGATTGAGACCAGTGGGGAGTGCGGTCAATAATGCCGATGTCGAGTGTTAATCCTGCCGACTCAGGCCTCCCCAGGTCAACCTAGAAAGGAAGTGTTTAGCAATGACCAGCATCCCTGTGCTTTCGCAACTGAGTCGAGGAAAACCTCTTACCCATCAAGTCTACTTCCTCGTGCAGTTAAGCACTTGGACTAGGGTCTATTTAATCGCGCAGTGTAGTTGTTTCCCGAAGGATGGTGTTGTGTCTCAGAGAGGCGACCAAAGGCGCAGGAAATACTGGGAGGTGGGCAAGGTAGACAGTTTTAGCAAGACAAAGGTGATAGGAGGAGATGCAGAGCGGCCCATACCATGGGCACAGTACCTGCACCTCTTAAACACACAACAAAAGCACAAAACAAATCATTAAGCATGTTACAGTAATAATGGGTGAGAGGTGAAAGGAATGTGGGACAGGGAAGACAATGGCTACATAAACAGTTAGAAGTAGAGATACATAGAGGTATTTCCTCAGCACACTGGAAATGCAAGTGTGCGAACGCCGCCCACCCGCAGGCGAGCGACACCCCACCCGCACACCTAGGGGGGCAAAGGTGTGAATTTTTCCTAGAATGTCACACGTTTAACCCCCCAAGTGCACGAACGGAACGTCGCCCACCCGCAGGCGAGCGACACTCACACACTTGCATTTCCAGTGCAGTCCCATCGGAGAGTCATCTTGATAGAGAATGCAGTTGCATTGCAAAAATGTAAAGTCTGTCAGCTGAAGTTGAGCGTTGTTCAGTCTTCACCCCTTCCTATTTTCCAGGCTCCTCTGGCACCAATTGAGGCACCAGAGTCACTATGTACTTCTAGTCAAGGGGACTGGTACTGTCAGGTCGTAAGTGGTGAACCTCCCAGGTGTAGGCTAATGTTTGGTGGCGTTCTTTCTTCACCTCTTCCAGTTCTCTCAGGCGCGTCCCCTCCAGGGCACTTGATACAGTACATCTAGTCAAGCAGGGGACTAGTATTGTCACGTCATCAGTGATATGGGCCTCCTGCCTCACCACCAGGAAGTAAGTTGTCGTCACATGCAAGCAGAAAAAGGTGAAGCTCGTGCTCAAGCAGAACATGTCAGGCAGAGGAAGAAGATAGAGAAAGCCTAGTGCAGGCAGAGAGGGAGGCGAGAGTAGCAGGCAGAAGTTCTAAACGTGCACAGGTGGCCCTATCGCGTTTGGTGTATGGCAGAAAGAAAGGAAAGCACACTGTTCAGAAACTGAATGCCCAGTCACAGTCCTTGCTTTCTCCCGGGGAAGGATCGCTAGGAGACACAACACCACCACGACAAAGGGTGGCTAGCC